AATTTTGGGAAATGGAAAATTTTCGATACAAATTGCAAAAATTATAAAAAAAAAACAGTGGAAAATAATGCATGATGCTGAAAATTATATAAATTTTTGGAAATTTCTCACAAAACAAGTGAAATTTTTCGCAAAATTCATAAATTTTTTTGGGAAATTCACTCACCTTGAGTTCCAAATTTGCTCGTAGCCCATTTCGACCACTAATTTTCCACATTCCTTTAGCAAATCAGTCAATGGATGCGGATAAGCATTCGGAATACCCGATGCATTGAACCGAACGTATTGCGCCAGATTGCATTGATTTTGGTAGATGCCCTTGATCATGCAGCACTTTTTCAGACGGTCGAACCGTCTGAAAATGGAATGGAATTCATGAAATTTTCACTTTTCATTCCATTTTTATGAAAAATTTTCAGAGAATCAAATAAAATATTCTTTAAAAAACGTTCTTAAGCAAGCATTTTGCATTGCAAAACATCACGATCGTGCCAAAACAACCACCGTTAAAAGNTACCCAAACCGTTGGAAGTAACGATACCCAAACCGTCAAAAGTAACGATACCCGCATCGTAAAAGTAACGATACCCACCCAAACCGTTAAAAGTAACGATACCCAAATCTCCAAAGTAACGATACCCAAATCTCCAAAAGTAACGATACCCAAATCTCCAAAAGTAAGATACCCAAATCTCCAAAGTAACGATACCCAAACCATTAAAAGTAACTCTACCCAATTCCCCAAAAGTAACGATACCCACCCAAACCGTTAAAAGCACTCACCTCTTCCCGAACATGCCACGATAATAGAGCACTTGAGGTGCTGAATTCAGCTGTTGCGTCAGGCTCAGATCCCCGTTACCGATCGCCAAACCTTCCAGTTTCACCTCTTTCATTTGCCCACCCTAAAATATAACTTAATTTTTCGGTTAATCTTTCAATCAGAGCCGAAAATTTTCCACTGAAAACGAAATATTTCAACCGAAAATAACCCCCCCCCCAAAATACCCCCACAAAACCTAAATTTAACGTACCCCCTGTGCTTCCACGATCTGTATCGCCGTACCCAACACGAAATAACTCGCGTACCCTTCACCCATCAGGTATAAACTGCGATTTTTGTATTCCGGATACCGCTCCATAAACACCTTCAACGCCCCCAAGATGTCCTGTGCGGTCTGCAACAATTAAAAGTACTGTTAACACTACTGTAAAGTATCGTTAAAAGTAAGTAACTATAATCAGTCCTATCATTAAAAGTAAGTAACGATAATCAAGTCGGCCGTTAAAAGTAAGTAACGATAATCAAGCCTATCCTTAAAAGTAAGTAACTATAATCAGTCCTATCCTTAAAAGTAAGTAACCAGAACCAAGTCGGCCGTTAAAAGTAAGTAACGAGAATCAGTCCTATCATTAAAAGTAAGTAACGAGAGTATTGGTCTAAATCTAAGCCTGAGCCTGAGCCTGAGCTCGCATCCCAATCTTCCCACCTGCAGATTGTTATACTGCGGCTCTTCAGATGCATTTCTAGTGCTGTAGGAGAATCCCGTATCGACCGGTGCCTCCAGAAACAGAATATTAGCCAACTGAAATTAATTAACATTCAAAAAAAACTTTAAAAATTAAACAAAAAAAGTAATAACATCACTAAAATCGGAAAAATTTTCAGACAATGAGAACAAAAAATTCCCCCTCCACTTAAACAGCTCAAATGATGTGCTTAAAGTTTACAGGATTGAAGGCTAAAGTAAGTTAACGAGAAGTAAACCGTTAAAAGTAACGACTATCGAGTAACGAGTATCACTAAAAGTAACGACTATCGAGTAACGAGTATCACTAAAAGTAACGACTA